CTCGGTGTCACATAATCTACAGCATCTAAGATGCATGTGTATAAATGTTTTTGAAGACAGATATTTTCAGAACCTACGGATACCAGGAGGCTCGTTTCGCAGTGTTCAAAGGTGACCAATTTCTTCTTTATGACTCTTCTGCATTGTAAATGCAAGCAACTTTGAATATGAAGCTCCCATGCCCACTTCTGTTTGTGTACAAAACTTGTTTTTAGCTGCCCTAAATGTGTCGTTTCACAGACTCGGTACTGTCGAAGTACATCTGCATATGGGGCAACGCTCGGGTATTGCGGCACTTTTTTTTTGCAAATATAAAGTTTTCACATTGTGACATTGCCAAGAAATAGGTCACAGGTGTTTTTTGATGTAGTAACCAGATAGGTTGCTTGCTGCAAAACAAGTACTATATTTGAACAGGCAGAGTGCTTTGAATTGCTGAACCTATGCAGGTTGATCACAGGTCTAAGAAAAGTTTGCCAAAATATGTGGAATACATTTTTCAAAATATGTGCAATACATTTTTCAAACTATGTGCAATACATTTTTCAAACCAGCATATCACAATTTTAGAATGTTCTTACTTTTATACTTGTCTGGCAATTTGGGTCCTGTTGCTGTTGCATCAGATGTCCCTAAGGGTAGTGTACTCGGGCCTCTATTGTTTCTAATATATATCAATGACCTATCATTATCAATTAAATTGACAATTAGACTGTTTGCTAATGCATGAGTTATTTACCGGAAAATTAATACACCTATATTAATCGCAAGACGATTTAGATACAATATCATCATGGTGTTCCCTATGGCAGATGAACATTAACACATATAAATGCAAAGAATTGTCCATAATTAAGTCCTCCACTAAAACACTAACCCAGTCCTCGTTACTTTCCAAACCACTAGAACACTCACTGTCGTACAAGTATTTGGGCGCGTATTTCACAGACTCATTATCATGGATTGAGCAAATAACAAATAGCGCACTAAAAACACTTAATTTGTGAGAAAGCCATTTGTACGAGAAAATTCTTGTGTTCAATAAACGCATGAATCATGCAAGATATATGATAACCATATAAGAACTATATAAGATATATAAGAAACTTCTTATAAATTTCTTATATTATTCTAATCTACTTCTTATAGGGCTCTTATATGTTCTTATATATCTTGTATGATTCATACGTGTTTATTGGACACAGAAGTTTCTCGTACAAATGAGATTTTTAGTAGGGATCTTGCTCTTATTAAAGCGAAACTACTCGCAAACAAAACATTTATCCTCCCACCATTAGAATATGCGAGCATAATTTGGAATCCACACCTAAGTTACCTATAATCTAGAGGCTCGAATCTTCAGAACAAAGCAGACAGATTTATATGTAGTGATTATTCATTCGAAACTAATGTCTCCGCTTTAAAAGCTAGCATAAATCTTCCTAATCTAGAAAGAGGACGAAAAATAGTCTGATTGTGTGTTTCTTTTTTTTTTTTTCCAAGATGTATATTACTCAGATTCCAATTTTCAATCTACTTAGTGCTGGGCTGCCAATTTCATATCATCCATATTAGATAATTCCTGCAAGATTGAACCATTTCAGTGCCATAATTACACTTTCCTTTTTTCTTCCTTAGTACTTTGCAACACTGACTAGAACAAACTACCTGACCATATTGTAACTGAGAGATATCCCATTTCATTGAAAAAGTGCATCAATTTGTGTGACTGAACTTTGATTTGTAAAACTGCGTCATAACAATAACATGCTAATAAGCGGTTTTGTGTGCGTGTGACATTTTCTTTTTGTTGGTTTCTCTTTTATGTTCAATTACTATTTTGTCTTATTTTTTTTAATTCCCCCTGATGTAATGCGTCTTTGGATGCCTTTGAGGTGAACGAAATTAAATGAAATGAATGCCTCTGCATCATTTATCCAATTGTTACTTCAGTTCGTTTTATCTGGTCCTACAACTTCGAAGATTGTCATTTCATAGGGATTCTTTTTTATTACACAAGTCCCATGTCGTTCAGAGATAATTACACCACCCAGTCTATCGATTAAAAAATAACATCTTGTATTTCACTACAATAATTGTAGGTTATAAGAATTTTCCTGCGTTCTAAAATTGGTTCTTTATATCACTCGGCGTTCACAGTTCTCACGTTAGCTTGTAAAAAATAAATTGTGCGAAAACCAGCGTTTCTACGACGTAAAAGCTTCGCGCGAAGCCTTCAGCTCAGCTAGCCTGCTGCCGTGACGTCACCGGAGGCGTGTGCTGGCCTTCTCCTCTAGGTGGTGTTGAACGAGCGCCTTGGCGCAGCCTCTCTCGCTTCCTTCTCGCAAACGTCGAGCGGAGAAAGCAGGGTTGCCAGACAAGCAGTAACGTCCAAGATGGCGGAATTTACCATTTTTCGCGTTAAAAAAATACTTAACCTATCGTAACAAAACTGGTGGCTATGGAAAAGTAATCATTTATACCTTGGGTGAATTATTCAAGCACCTTAATGGGCTTTTATGACCTGAGTTAGGAAAGAAAACGACCCTCTGCCCCATAGACTCCCTGCAAAATTTATCAATTAAATGGCGTCCATGTCCCGTGATAGCCGATCCAGCAGTTGCACCCACCCTCACTTGAGCCTCCCTAGCGTAGAGTTTATAGTGGGTAGCGCCATTTTGAGAGCGAGAGAGAAAAGGGGAAAGGGCTACCGGCGCTTTCCCCCTTTCTGATTGTGTAGAAAGGGTGGAAGTCCCGGATGAGAGGCTTGGCTAGAGTGCCTTCATGTGCGCTCATGAAGGCTCCCTAGGCTTGGCCGGTGTTGGGCGTCTGCAGTACCCCAACTTCGTTCGCGCTTTCTTCTACGTTTCAAACTCCCAAACTTAATTAGAGCCATGGTCTTCGATGGCGACAGTCCCCCGGTCATCGGGACACCGTTGCTGGGTGATAGGGTGCACGAATAACGACAGAAAGCGTCGAATATACTGTCCGATGATCTATGTAGCTTGCATGGAATCCGGCAAGGCAAGTACGGCTGGAATGTCTTTAAGCTCCATTGCTTTCCGCATGACTGGAAATGATGAACCATTTATACATTTTTGCTTGCAATGGGCCTATTTCAACGTAGCCGCTTTTAGTTGTAATCAACAAGCGATACACGAAACGGGAACGTCAATTAACTTTGAAAACGACCGGAGCTGCTACATATCGTCTTGCTGTGCTGTTTTTATCTTCGTGTCCCTGTTCTTATATTTAATTGTGAATGAATGACGAAGACGCTCTAGATGTAATTTTATCGAACCGCAGAAAGCCTCGAAGCAGCCACAAATTATTTTACTATTTGATGCAATATTTTGGGTACTTACCTCCAATTTTTATAGCTGGCACGTTCGCTGCCGCTGTTCCCTCCGTCGCCACACTGGCGGATGCCATGACTCAAACAAAGAAACGTGCACACTGGGCTCGAAAACGCAGATCGCAACACACGAGACGTTCCCTGCAGCGACTATCAAGCGCCTCAAAGCGCCTAAGTCAACGGAAACAACCCATCAGCGGCACTCCAAGGAGCGCTTTTGCCGGCTTTTAGTATCGCGCAGGAGATCGCGATTAAAAAAAAAAAAAAAAAAAAGTAATAGAACCACGTTTTTAACAATTTCCAGCCTCACCCGGCGGTAGAAATGAGCCTTCAACTAAGTGCTGTAGATGATAAAATCGAGTCAGTCAGCACTGCAAATTATCACTATTAAGATAAATTCAGTTACGAAATTTTACAAGCTGAAACAGCAGTTATCATGAGAAAACTCGCACGCACATTGCGAGCGTACCCCATATTCATCGGCGGTACAGCGTTCGGTGCGCGCTCCATTCACGAAATGTTCCGAGCGAAGTCGAGAGGATGGCGTTGAGGAAACGCCTTTTCGGTTTACGGACGCAATTCACTGCCGCCGGAGACAGGGGTCATGTGGAAAGCGATGGAGCTCAAAGACATTGCAGCCGCTCTCGCCTTGCCGGATTCCTTGCAAGCTACATACGTCCTCGGACAGTATTCTATGCTTTCTGTTTTTATTCGTGCACCCTGTGATCCAGCAATGGTATCCCGATGACCGGGGGACTGTTGCCATCGAAGCCTCTGGCTTTAATTAAGTTTGCGAGTTTAAAACAGAAAAGAAAGCGCGAACGAAGTTTGGGCACAGCAGACACCCAACACCGGCGAAGCCTCTCATGCGGGAATTTCACTCTTTCTACAGAATCAGAAAGGGGGAAAGCGACGGTAGTCCTTTCCCCTTCTCTCTCTCGCCCTCTTTCAGTAAAGTAGCGCAGAGCGAACGCCATCTCTCGGCGACTAGCGGCGAACGCCCGAGGGTTCCAACTCCGGTCACAAATGCACGGGGAACGTGAGAAAATCGCCGTTTCTTAAATATTTTGGGAATGTACGGAACGACAATAATTTTTGACATGATAAAGGAACAGTTTACAATAATTTTCGCGAAGTTGTGTGCCATGTAATAACGTAATTTGTTTAAAAAAAAAAAAAAAGCTTTAGCGGCATCATGCAGCAGACGACGCGGCGACGTCACACCATTCACGTGACCCGCTCCGGCCAATCCCCATTAAGTCCATCTCCGCTGCGCAAAACAATCGTCTGCTTCAAACGCTATTGCCATGGAAATTGCCTTATCACAATTTTCACACGCATCCAATAATATTAAAACTTTGATAAAATGTCTAGTGCTTTACCATCTTCACGACAGACTAGTTTTGAAAAGTGTGAACTCGGCGTTTATTTTTTGATCAGCCGTGTTGAGTCGATCTCCATGTGTTCTCCCTTAGAGCGGGCCGCCTCTTGGAACCCTGAGTACCACGTGACTCGCGCCGAGCTGCTCTGTCGGCCATGTTGTCGGCGAAACTAGGCGAAACACGCGGATCAAAGGATTGCGCTCCGAATAACACGACCGCCATTGATATGCACCAACACATTACAGTTTCTAAATACACGTGGGTTCAGTAAAATTTATTTTATAGTAAAAAGAAGAATAGCTTGACTCATGCTGAATGAATGTAGACTCGTGGCACATCACTAGCGCCTTTGCGGACCAAGTCAACTACTCGAAGAATGGCCGCGTCGGTAGCGCGCCTTTGGATGTCGTACGTTTGAAACACGTGAGAACTTCGAAGTCCGTTGCCAAGTTGTTGAAGACTTGAAAAGTAAACTAAGCAGCCCGACGTGAGATATGGGCACGACGTGGCGCTTTTACTGTGTCTTCGTTACCTCTGACTAGAGCCGAAGAGTACCTGCCAAGGCAGCGACGCATCTTTGTTTGTGCTAAGCCGCCTGCTCCGAGCGGCGTCCCTGGGTTACCATGAGCGCCATGAGCAGCCTCTACGAGCTGCACAACATTCTAAGAAACCTTCACTCAAGCAAGCTTACGGAACGCAGAGTATGTATTTGTGTGCGAGTATACGCCGGGTTTCTGGACACGACCTTTGTAATGTCAAAAGACGGAAAAGTGATGTAGATCGCGCAGTTGACATCATATCTCCGTCCCATCGCTTGACATTTCGTAGCGCCTCGAACGCAATGCTCTTACATTATTCATGTTTCAAACTTTGGCTTTCTAGCCAAGAATTCAGAAAAAGCTATGAATCAAGCAGCTAGTTCTGGAACATGGGCATCAGCGTAGGGTTGCCACTTTCCCTCGAAGAAAACGGGCTATACCAGGGGGGGGGGGGGGGGGGGGGGGGGGCAATTATTTGGGGAGAAACTGATAAAAAGAAAAACACAGTCTTTAATATGCAAATTCAAATAATTTAACTCGAGCTTCCCAAAGTGAGATCAATTAGCATAGATACAATAGCATGTATGTGAGTATACTAGTGCACACTGAACTCAATAACGTGCATAGATACATACCATTTGGCCAACAATTAAAGCGAAAAAAAAAAAAAATTCGCACTTTACTCGTACTATTTAATAGGGATGGCTAAGCAGGGGCACGATTCAGAGGGGGGGTCCGGATGACCTGACCCCCCTCTTGATTTCTGCTTGTGTAAATTTTAGGGCGTAAAACGAAGGAGAGGGGGAGGGGGTTCCTAAACATATGGTATGCTGACCAACACCCGACCCCCCTCCCCCCTCAGGAAATTCCTGCATCCGCCCCTGTGGCTAAGCACTCGGCAACGTTTCATCCCACATCAGCTCTCCCCAGCATTGCTAGATTACCTCAGTTGCGGAACTCCCGCAGAAGGGGTTACCCCCCATCCTCACTTCATTCAACCTCCAGTCATGTGAAGTGCCATCAAGATTTTCGTTTCATAACTGTGTGCTCAATAGTGCAGAGCCGGAGTGCCATTAGATGTTCTGCTTCGAAACATGTGTTCCATGAACACACTGCAGTTCCCATAGCAGCTGTTCGGCGCATCAAACAACGGGAGGCGAGTCCTTAACTGAGCTAATCTAATAACATTGGCTGTCCCACAACCACAAGAGAAGAGGGGAACGAGGAAGGCTTTTCGCACCTGGACTCTCCTTTGTGTGTCCCAGATTTGCCCAAAAGTCGCTCCTCTCGCTCTCAATTATAGAAGGTTAATTCATCACTCAAAATGTGTACAAAATCAGTTTTCCCCTTACTCTGTTCAGTTGTGGTGGGAAATGGATGATGTGACGTAAGTGCAGGGTATGTATTGTGCACTGCTCCTGTCACTTTGGGACATATACAGGCTACAATTTTGCTGCAGATGTCAGCCTCTCCAGGCCTGCATATGTTTCAGCATATCCTTGTGTTCGGGCAAAGACCGCAACAGAGTGTCAGATGAAAAGAAGACAACTGAGTTTGAAAGCAATGAAACACATGCTTTTCTTTTAAAATGATATGGACGTACGTGGCTGAAAAGAAAACAAGCAGAAAATTGAAAAAGCCGTGGCTGCCCACCTTCGTGGACAGGTGATAGCACCGCGCGTGTCTGTTGCTGCCGCATTCACAAACCTTACTCCAAGTGAGGCACCCCTCCACTTCCTCAAGGAAGGCGCGAGGACCAGCACTGGCCAATCGAAACAACGGATAGGCAGACTTCGCACTTTCCTTGAGGAATTGGAGGGACGTTTCAATTGGAGTGAGGTTTGTGAATTTGGCGGTTAGGATGCGGACAACTGATGAAAGTCGTAAAACCATTCATTCCTCCCCTCTCCCCCCTGAAGTCCGAGACAGCTATCGGGAGAATAGGGCAGTCCTGTGCATTAGTTGCGCGTTTCCCGCTCCTCCGGCAGGTGCCGGCTTTTGGCTTTTTCCCATTTCCCTCATTTGGCCCTCTTGCTGCCGTATCCGCTTAGATATTTCCAACGCTGCAGTCGTTTCTCAAGCAAGCTTGCTCTCGTGCTTTCTCTACTTCGGAGTCGTCAACAGATTTTTGTGTACCTTGTGTAAAACAAACATCACTTGACTGGCACTTTTTGTGCTAGTTTTTGCATTGACAGTCTAGAATATGTTTATAACCCCCAAGAAAAATGAATGCGCTTGAATAGTTGAAAAAACCGGAAAACAAAGGCCAGTGTGGGAAAGTTCTTGTGGAAGAGCTGTCTGCCCTCGCAAGAAGGACGAGACAGAGGATTTCTGATATACCTTTTAGTTATGCGGTTTAAACCAAATTAGAAAAACGAGAAAACGAAAAAGAACATCAAATGAAAAAATATGTAGAAAGAATAGTCACTCCTGACGGTATTACAAGACCCGCGGGTAAATAAAATCACAGTCATAGTTTGTGTACAAGCGGAGCAGGGCAGCAAAAGGCACTTCACCACTTAGTGTTTGGCAGTGTCTATTCTGCCGGCAGCCGGCAGAATAATTTTTCCGAAATTCTACCGGCAGTCACCTCCGGCGCGTGTATCAGTGGGGAGCTCGTTAACATAGCCCCCCCCCCCCCCCCCCCTCCCCCTCCTTTAGCGGCGACAGTCTGCGGCTGCTCATTAGAAATATATTGACCTATTTGGCCCACCAGTACCACCGCATCGCGGCGGCGTGCCGGCCGGCCCAAGCCCCGCTGTCCTCCATTCACCCCCAAAAAGGAAGTGTTTCGTCAACAACATTCGTGTTTCTTTTTTGTGTTCTTTTTTTAGTGTTAATTCGAAAAGACAGATGTCGTAAATATCGCCTAATACCTCAACAAAAAACAAAATTCCGAAAAAAAAAAAGAAAAAAAAAATTCTCTTGGGGGATTGAACTGCTGTGTATGAGGTGCTCATCTTACCCACTGAGCTAATCCACAGCTTAGAATAGGCGTGTTTACAATCCGTTTTATACGAGACCCAATAGGCGACTACTGCCGGCACTTTTTCCCCCCGGTTATTGTGCCGGCTGCCGGCAGAATAGACACTTCCTTAGTGTTTGGCGTGGTCAGCGATGGCCGGGATGCGCAGTCTGTGGTCGTAGAGCACACAGCTTCCTTCTTCCTCGTGGCAGCCGTCTTCTGCTCTGAGGTGCCAAGGGTTCGCCGATTACGAACTGCCCTCGGCATCTCGGGATTCCGTCGAGTCTCCCCAGGTTGGGTAACGGCTCCAAGGAGGTTTGCTCTTGCCTCCACCTTGACCTTCCTCACCTCTTCTTCCTTTTCCCTTTTTCTCGTGCTGGCCCTACTCCCTCTTCTATTTCTTCTTTTCACAGCGTTGCTTACTTGGTTTCGCTAGTCTATTATATACAGTTCATCACACAACCCCCCATTCACACTTTTCTTGTTTTCTTTTAAAAGAAAAAAGAAAAAGAGTATTCGTGAGCACAGATGTACAAGCGGAACACAGTGTGAATTGACCAGCTAATGTTCAGCTACTTCAAGCCCTGCTCATGAAGTCTGCGCCTATGTTTTCACTTCCCTTAATATGAACAACTGTGAAAGAATACTCCTGTAACAAAAGACTCCAGCTCAGCACACGACTGTTCAGCTATCTTTCTTAGTTCAAATATTGAAGCGGATGGTGATCTGTTTGTACCATGAATAGTTTGCCAAACAGGAAGAAATGAAATTTCTGAACAGCCCATAAAAAAAAAAGCACTGACGTTGTATGGTAGAATACTTTTGCTCGTGTGGCAGAAATTGTTTGCTGGCGTAGGCTATCGGATGTAGCAATCCGTCGTGTTCTCGCATTAAGACCACCTCCATTCCCGTCTCCGATGCGTCAGTTTTTAAGATGAACTGTTTTGTGGGATCCGGGACTCGCTAAACAGGTCTCGAAGAAACAGCAACTTTTAGAGGTTCGAAAGCACTCCCTCTCTCTCTTGTCCATCGCAACTTGTGGGGTTCCCCTTTCCTTGTCATTGTAATCAAAGGTTGTACAATTTCAGCATAAGCCGGCACAAATTGTCTATAGTAATTAGCTAAGCCAAGGAAGGATCGGATCTGTTTTTTTTGTTTCCGGTTTTTTCGCTTTCATGATTTTCTCTATTGTGTCAAATATGGCTCTAATCTGCCCTTTCCCGATCTCGTGACCCAAGAATGTGATTTTTTCCATGCCCATTTCTCATTTACTAGGTTTGATTGTTAGTCCCGCTTGGCGGACATGTTTGAACAAATTATTGTAAGGTCGTTACGTGTTCGTGCCAAGTCTCTGTGGCGTCAAGTACGTCGTCAATATAATGCTGGGCGTGAGGTATTCCCTCCAGGAGCTTCCTCATCAGTCTCGTGAAGACCGCCAAGGCTGTTCTGGGTCCAAAAGGCCATACCAGAAGTGGTATAGACCTGTACTTGTCGAAAATGCTGTTAATGGTTTCTACTCTTCCGTCAGAGGTATCTATCTGCCAGTATCCCTTTACCAAGTCAAACATCGAGAAAAACTTCTTGTTTCACGTCGTCAGTACGGGGTATGGGTTCTGCATCTCCAACTAAAATGTTGTTGACAACTAAAATGTTGTCGAGACAACGAAAGTCGACACTCAACCGAAAAGTACTGTCTGGCTTACATACCAAAATTAGTGGTGATCGGTACGGAGATTACGACTTTTAGATTATTCCTAATCGTAGCATCTCCTCTACTTCGGTTTCAATCGTTTCTCTCGTAGCTAGGGGAATGGGATACTGAGGCATTTGTACTGGAGGATTGCTCGTGAGTTGAAGTTCACATTCAAGAATGTTTGTCTTTCCCGGAAGATCTGAGAACACATCGCCATACTCCTGAAGTAGGATCTGTAGTTGTTTCCTCTCCTTTTTAGGAAGGTGTTGGTTGATGACAGCCTCCTTCGAACTTTGCGCTTTCCGGTAGGACGGAATTGACAGTAGGCCATCTTTTTCTTTCTCGATGGCAAAAAAGGCGCATGTCTGAGTAGGGATTTGCTCATGATCTTCCTGCTCTTCATAGCGTTTGAGCAGGTTTATATGAAGGAGCTTCTGAGTGTGTCCTAAGTTGAGGACATAGTCATGACTTCCTTTGATTCCAATCACTGGAAAGGGTCCTTTC